AAATTTTTTCTGTCCTCTGTTTTTTTTTTTTTTCAAAATGAATTTGATTTTGAAATGAACATATATTGCCAAAAAAAAAAAAAAAAAAAAATAGAAAATTGAAAAGTATATTTTATCTTCTTTCTGTTTATTTATAACTGATCTGTGAACAGCAAAAAAGAAAAATTTTTTGAGCACATAGTTTTATCCTCTTTAATGTACGGTTAGCATTTTGAAATTGTTACAAAATTTATCAAATTATATTTCTAAAATTGTTGTGCATTTTTGTAAGGTTTTTTAAAGAGTTACAAAAACAAAAAAGTTTGAAAATTTTGTTGCTGTTTGTTTTTTTATGTTTTATTAGAAATGCAACAAATGTAAAAGGAAAAGAAAAATAAAATTAAATAAATGAAAAATTTAAATCAAGAAATTAGTCAAGAAAAGTTTTTTTCTATAAAACTGTTGTAAAACTAACTTGAAAATTTTCTTTTTTATCTTTTAAACTATAATACTTATAAGCTTAGAATTATCCAGAAAAAAAAAACAGTGTATTGGTCCTCAATAATATTTTTTAATTATTTATTCTTTTTTTTTTTTTTGTTTCAGCTTTTCAGTCGTCTTTCTTAGGTTTGTATATTTAAAAATTTTTCTATTTATCAAACTGATCATTAAAATACCATACAATTTGTAGAATATTCAATCCAAAACAGCATTGTTTTTTTTTTTTATTTTTGACTAAAGCTTTTGCTTTTATTACTTTTTGCAAAGTTTTTAACAAGAAAATTGATCAGATAAAGTTTGTTTTTCTTTCTTTCTGACAAAAAAAAAAAACTAAAAGTTTTTGTATAAATAAAATTGCTGCTTAAAATAATAGTTTTACCGCGCATTATCTTTTATTTTTCTATATGTTCAATCCGTTTTCTTTTGTTTTTTTTTTTTAATTTTTTTAGAAAATTTTTCTCAATATAGAAGCATTTATTTGCAGAAAAACAAAAAAAAAAATTTGTGGTTTCTCATGAGATGATTTGAAATCACCGATGTATGAATTAATGTAGAATTGTTTAAGATCACCGAAAAGTATAATGGTGTCGAAGGTTTATGTAAACTATTGAAAACCGATCCAATTAACGGGTTACCAAATGATAAAGTGGAACTTGATCGAAGACGTTTGGTGTATGGTAAAAATGAAATACCCCCTGCACCCAGTAAATCGTTCATACGACTTGCCTGGGAAGCATTACAAGTTTGTTTTTGTTCAACATAATTTAAACCTTGTTTCACAGATTTGCTGTAATGTACGTTAAAATTAACTAAAT